TTAAGCACTGTAGTGTAATCTATGCATTGTAACCATATATAACCAGCTTGACTTAAAAATGTAGAATCGATCTGTTGCATTGTTATTCCTGGTAAGACAAACTTCTTAACTTCTGAGATAGTACAAAGAATATACACAACGTGAGTCCTAGCTAAAAGAAGAGAATTACAAATTCTAGACGATCATAAGGCTATTAAAATATGTAACAGAACAGAGAGTATGCGTCACACGTTGGATGTGGGGAACTTTACTGTTGTCTTGCCTATGGTTGTAAAATATGAATTTGGCGTCCACGTTCTACATAATTTGTCCGCAATATTCAGAATAATATACTGGTATAAATATTAACAGATGGGTAAATCTAACTTAAAAATAATCCAAAATCCCCGAATCTATCAAATGATATAGGGTTTAACGTCCTACCTTTCTCCACCAGTCGGACGTCATGCAGTATGCCCAGACAGCGGCATTTCCGTCTCTTCTTCGTCGAATTCCAGCTGCCAGGTTGTTTTCTTCACGTGCAACACGGTTTTTTTTGTCCCACCAAAAAGACAAACACTGTTTCTTGCCAGGTCCTCCTTATCATACCACTGAATAGGGATCTGATCGTGACATACCTGTTAAGCGAAGCGTTCTACCAATGCAACGGTTCTTTCACAGCGGGAATATTTCGTGTTTTAAATATCATTTTATCAGTCCATACAATTTACCTAATGTATAAGTTGTCTTAAAGATACATTCCCGGGTACAAACTGGGTGATTTGATGATATATTTGGACTAAAAACATATTCAAACTAATTAATTTATCATAATTTTGCTTCAAATCCTTCTCAAAACATTGCAATTGTCGGGGAATACCCTGGCTATAAAAAATCGATCAAAAGAGGTCATGTTTGTGTCACGTGACTTACCTCTCTCAGTACCTAGCAACGCAAGCCAAGTTGGAGGAGAAGATTGCAAACTGGCCGGTTTCTTGTGGCTGGTCTTCGAGCTACCAAAGCCTACGAACCGTGCATATGTATGTCATGTATCCGCGACGGCAACGGGTGAGTCAACAACAAAAGGTCTTGTTCCCGCGCTTCCGACTTGTGTAATTATTTCAACCATGCATTCAAGAGTTTGAGTCGCCCAAGTCTTTTTAAATGGCAAATATGATGCTTGATGGTCACGGGGGCTCCAGCAACAAAAGGCTATATCTTCCTCGGTGCTTCCTGGGGTTTTTGGGTTTTTTTTTAAAATATAGATTTTGTTCTTATATGCCTTTCAAAGCTCAACCATTCCAAAGACGTATCTTTGATGCACATTATTTCAATGTTCCAAATGGATGTATATCTGCCAGCTGTAAAATATGAAGTAATAATAATATATTGTTCGGATTAAAATTGTCATATTTTTAACGTAAAAGGCAAAACGATATTTCGTCTTTATATTCAAATAAATGGCTTTACCACGAATAAATATACATTTTATTCATATTACAATTCCCCGTAGGCCTACATAATTGTAAAATATGTTTCTTGACATAAAAGAAGCTGATGATATTTAAACCATATTATTTCTTTTAGACAAATGATGATGACTTCACTAGAGGTCAAATTTATCGTATTATGAAATATTAACATTACAGATAAAGAGTTGTAACTTCCCATATAGTTGGCAGCCTCCCATTTTTTTATGTACTGGTAAGAAGAGAGAACGCCGGTATCACCACCTCAGTGTACCGAAAACCAACACATACAGATCAGTATATCCACTACAAATCTAATCACCCCATCAGCACTAAAGCAGGCATTATCACCACTTTAACCAAAAGAGCCAAGAATATTTGTGGCCCTGAATCCCTTTCCGTAGAAATTCAACGCTTAAAAGGAGTATTCACCCAGCACAACGGATACCCAGAACAAATGGTCATCAATCTCATCAATGCCACACTATCCGATCTACCAAAACCTGATAAACCCAAAAACGATAAACCTCCAATTAGAATCTTATGCCATTCCACGGCAACATCTCCCACCAAATCAGAAGATTATTGAAAAGTGAAGAAGATATTGAAACCACCGTCTTGAAGGGCGCAACAACCAAAGACTAAGTAAAAGCGAATGGAAAGTTAAACCCCACCAAACCCTTCTCACCAAAAGGCTGTGTCTACAAAATCAACTGCAGTTGCCAGGAAAGTTACATTGGAGAATCCAAAAGACCATTAGACATCCGCCGAAAGAACAGATTTCAAAAGCCCCCACCAACCAATCTGCAGTTGCAGAACATCTGAATGAGAACCCACGGCACCGAGTCGATTGGACTAAAGTTAAAACGTTGGCTGTGAACCACCACAACGAAAGAAACAGAAGAATACACGAGGCGATCAACATTAGAAGACATGAACCGAAACTGAATCGAGACCCAGGCGTTTATATCCCCAGAGCATTAAATTGTAAACACAGTCCCTCTCAAGTAATTCCCCATGCAAAACCATATTTAACTTTTGGCATTATCCAATACCGAATCGATTATATATTCCATACCACAACCCACATATTTATAATCCTCTGTTATCAATATGTGAAAATTTGTATGATTCAATTATTTTCTATAATTCATTTAGCTAATCACAGTATTTTATGTCTATGTAACTCAATTACGATATCTTACCTCTCACATTTATAATTACAAAAAGGTGTTCATCATCTGATCAATTTATCATAATATATTTATATTTTATTCAACCCTTTGATATATATTTACCTTTTAAATACATATAAACTTATTACTTAACTACAGAACATAACCATAAAATTCTATATTTCTTAACTGTTATAATCAATGAAAATATTATGGTTTCGATATAATTCTATAAACCCTCAATTTGATCTTCTTGAATGTTTTTTTAGTTAATCTTAGTATATACTGGTTTCAGTTATGGTATAATGTGTATGGTTTCAATATTTGATAAAAAGAGAACTTCCTACCAGTCTTTTTTGATATCAAAAAATATCAACACAAGTTGATAAAGTAACAAAAAACGAGGCTCTGCCGAGGTTTTTTTTACTTTATCAACGAGTGTTGATATTTTTTGATATCAAAAAAAGACGAGTAGGAGATTTTTTTTATCACCCAATCCCTTTTTACATGCACAAATAGATAAATATAATTTTTGCTGTAGATTTCACTTTTACTGAACATTACGGCGTAGTGATACATCATTTTTTGACAGCAATTCAACCATTGCAAAGTCCTTTATGTTGACCCAGTTTTTCCATCAATGTCAATTGAATAACATAGTTCATTTTTAATCAAAAAAAAAGTTGCTTTTAATAAGAAATGAACTGTTCTTTGAAAATAAAAAAAAAAGTAGTTCCTTTTCAACTGACCAATCAAATTCATGTAAAGCGATATCTCCTAAGGATATATCGCAGTAGATTATGAAATATATCACACAAGCGATATCTACTGTAGAATGTATTATTGGGTGATAATCTTGGTTAATCCTCTGTTTCATTTTTTTATTGTATAATAAGCCAATCCTAATATATATACGATTATGCACCTTTGTTACATCAATAGCTTACATCATAGCTACACATGCTCACCCTCCTTGCATTCCATTGGATAGTTCGCACTGATGTTTGTATATATATATTCATATCTTTCTCATTTTTTTATCTAGTCTACGATATCACCTTAGGTTGAAGTGGACGTAAAACTCTAGAAACGAACGAATCATTTTTTATCTATTGTGTATATGCTTGATAACGACTTGTGAAACCTTGTTGAGACGTCGCACTGAAATAGACCATAGTAATTGTTATCCATAAAAGTGTGTTTTTGATTTTGAATACAAGTGTGTTTTTGATTTTGAATACAAGACATTCATCAATTTTCCATGTTTCTTATTATTATGCATGTGGAAAAATAAACTTCTCGGTGGAATGATTTGAATAAATTTGATAATCATGAGTATAACTGATTTGAAGTTTGAATTATTAGTTCTCTAAGACAACTCTTATGATTTTCCTTAAAATGAAAGATTTTTACAGATAATCTTGATTTTTCTGCTTTGTATGGCTTGTAATATATCCTTTATCAGGTTTTTATGATCACTGAACTTGAATATTACCTCTAAAATAAATTTTGAATATTGTAGATGATTGTTTAAGAACAAAACGGGACAATCGTCAATCTTTCTCTTGGGTTGGCGTATAATAAGAAAGTGGATTTTCCAGCGTGGTTTCCCTTTGGCAGGGTGCGGCACAGAGGGTGTCGAAAGAAACTTTCTTGTTATTCGGATGGCACCAAAACCAAGTTCCCGAGTACGCGTTGGCGTGCTCATAAAAGAACACTTAGCAGTTTGAATTTGAAATAAAGTAGGCCGTAACGCCACTGTCTGGACAAATTTGCTCATAGCACACTGCATAGCGAATAGCCATCTTCATTGACTTAGTACAGAACAGTGGGGCGTTAAGCAACGTTGCATTTCATTTCTGGTCCAGAAATCGTAATGTGATCCGTTTTTACTTTGAGTACTACTATGCCGTCTTCATTAGCCCAGTCTAAGCAAAACAGTAGGACGCTAAACCCCATTTCATTTCATTTGAAAACTTTGTCTGGCAGCCTTCCGTCAATTATGATAGTTCAAAGTGTAATATGAATTTCACAGCAAGTTGTCATAAACCACTGACAAGGGGGAAACCACGTCAGAAAATCCCCATGAACTTTCTCGGCCAACGCCGGGGGCGAACCCGGCACACTGATGGCGTGCGCATGTCTTCATTGGCCTAGTCGGTGCAGAAAGGTGGTACGTTAAACCCCATTTCATTTCTTTAATTTTAAGGCAGTTCGTTTGGCACTAGTATAATTTATTAAGTTGGCTGTATCCGGAATAAAAAGTAGCTTACTAATATTGTGTAGTTGACAATGATGTATTTCAATTCACACAATAAATCAAACAATTTGTTACAGAAAATACAAAAAACAAATTATTTTCTCTGATCTACTCCTACTTATTTTCTAATTGAATTAATAATGGAACATGACAACGGACAAAAACAGGATAAAACGTGTCAAAAGCAGAAAACTGAATTTGACAGTTAAATCTCACATTCAGCACGAAAAGTATTGATTATTTTCCTAAACATACATGGATATATATTTTACATTATGCATATTTAATGAACGTAAAACAAAAGAAATGTGTAAGAAATGATCAATCATGAAACAATATAGTTGCTTGTATATTTTCATTTATAATGCAGGTGGTGGCTTTTACTCATTAATAGAGAGCCAGAATTTGCTTTTACAAGACTTTTGAAGACGCATACAATCATTGAGTATCAGTTATCTATCCACATGAAAATTTTATATTGTTTGTTGTTTTTGGATCGATTTTAACGTTAGCTTGTGATGGCCTTGTTATGCATTTTTCTGCTATTGTCATGTTATTTATTAACCAAGAAGAGAGTCGCCCCCTTTGTCGTGATCCACCCAGCTCGTTGTCCATATCAGTATGCGCAGTCAGGCCATCCAATACCCAGTTATTTAAATATACGTCTTTGACGATACCCGTCGCTTTGGTATCCATTACAAAGTTAAATATTCTAGGACAATCTCCTTCTAGTCGAACATTGGTAATGTTAATATTTGATGTATTTAACAGGGTTGTTTTACCAGCCAAATCCATCACGGCATCGTTACCACTTGAATGACACACCTCCCCTTTAAATGTACACCAATCTGTATGTATGACGTCTATGGTGTCTATAGAAACGTTGTTCAAAAGTCTATCCACCCACCAACCGAACTGGAACACGGCGCCATTTTGTCCTTGCCATACCACGCACCGCCTAGCAACCAGTCCATCGTTATAAACCTGTAAATTATGAATTACAACAAGGGTTCTATTCATTTTGAAACAATGATTGCAAATCCCTTTAATGTAATCGCGACTATATGACACCGAACTATATAGTATGAAACGGTACGACACGGGATGTTAACCATTATGAAAAATTGTGCCGAAGATCCCATTTCTGCTCAGTCAATACAGTCTTTTGAAAAGCATGAAAATTGTTCAGATTAGTATATTATCTGAAAAAACTCATATACCGGGAGCCATTTTACTTAGTATTTACACGATCGCTGCTTCCTTTAAGATCGGATTTTTGTTCCGCCAATCGAGTTTCAAGTAAAGCATGAACATCGATCAATTCAGTATATAATCGTGAAACACCTATAGAGAATTATTCATAATAAATTATACAGGAAGCCAATTTCATTACCAACATCTATTTAAAGGAACCTATCTAAAATTTGCCGAAGATCGGATTTCTGCTCCGTCTATCCAGATGAAAATCGATATCTTGAAATACCTATAGAGTATTATTCATAAACCGGATGTCAGTTTACTTTCTCACGAACACTTACCTTGAACGTGTCATCATTGGTCTGAAAAAAGGAATCCTCTATGAGACCACCAGAACCTATCCCTACTCCATCGGTGTTGTGGGTCCATGGCCCTACAGTCTTTACGTTCCTAACAACATTATTATCACCGAGTCCCCGAAAGAAAAATTGGGGTGGATCAACCATAGTGATTCCTTCCACGGTATGATTCATCCCGTTATCAACATTTATAATGGACCATAGGAATCCTGGGTCCTTGTGAGGGTAATTAGCACCAGAAAGAATCCCCCTTCCGGATATTTTAATGGGTTTCAGGGACATTGTTCTTAACCCACCCTCAACGAAAGCACCGGGTGCCAAATATACTTGACGTATTGAATCATTTAACTGGAGTTGGCCTTTAAGATTATATGCTTCAGAACCGTAAAACAGAACACCTGGATCGGTTGGATCAGGTACGTCATCTTCGGGAGCGTCAGCAAATATTAAGAGCTTGTCAACGATGTCCGATTTAAAACTGCCGTAATCGTAGTCGAATTCAACGGACATCGTGACTGTATTTTCTGTTATATTAAATGTAGCGGTATTACTTCCAGTTTTTCGACATCCTATTCCATATCGTTTTGGTCTAACGATGCATTGTTTAAAGTCCTGTGCTGCTAAAACTGTAGCCACAACTGGAGACCCTGTAAAAGCAAAGGATGTCCACGATACGGTCCTATTCGGCTTGACACTACTGGATTGTCCTATACGATTATTTGATCTACTGATAAAAATAAAACTATTCTGAGCAGGGAAGTCATCTTGATGCAGGTTGATCTTGAACTTATCCGACTGATCTACTCCGGGTGGTGTTGGGTAAATGATCAGTTCACAATTTACGCAGTTCACAATAAAAGTCAACAAGATTAATAATTTCTTCATTGTCAATTCAGCACTTGACCCCACGAAATATTTAATTCACTCATTTATCAATCATGTGATTGACCTTGCTTTGAATAGAGCGGAAGTTTAGTTGTACTCTATAATTAGTCTATCACTTGTAACCTTCACTTTAAAATGTTATCTTAGGATAAAGAAGTAAATTATCGACTATATTTCTATTATAGGCTACCCTTTTATCTAATAAACTAATGGCTAGTAATGGTTAGTCATATCACCGTATCACGACAGTTCAAATATATAGTTATTCCAAAATATTTGATATATAACCTAATACAGACATTAGGATACCATGTTGAATCAATTTCCATGTAGAGTTTGAATTAAAGTTACAATTTCATATTTTCTAAGAAAGTCAAAACATAATTATTTCTATGTCTTTTGCTCAATAGGTTGTCAACTCACTATTATACGATCATAGGTTATCTTTCTCACACTTAAAAATCTTTACACCGGTAAAAGTAACACAATTGCCCCCCCCCCCCATTACCTCCCTTGTTTTCCTATTCCCCACCATTTGAATTTGAAGTTGAAAATGATATTTTTGCCATTTTTTCAACTGGCAAAAGTGAATTATAGGATTAATAGGATTATTCTTTAACAAGGTAGGACTGTTTATAGATACCATCTATTTTAAGGCTTTATTTTAATGAATTTTAAAAATATAACTTAAAAATATGAAATTGCAACTTTAAAGAGGCATTTATCATTTAACTAATTGTGAAGAATTCCATATTCACAATACTCGTGGACCCTGCTAATTATCGGAAATCAAAGCACATTCTACTGTGCTCCTCTAATTGCTTGAACGCCGTGAACACCTTGTAAATATATCTCAGCAATGGATTGGCCGATTTATCTCAAATGTTGTACACAATCCAATTTGAACACGCCATGATGCCGTAATGAAATAACTTTCAGCTACATGTCCAACTGATATAAATCAATATAATCAAGGGGCGGGGTCGACGTGAAATAAAATGGGTTTTAACCTGTGGCTTAGTGATGGTCATTTGGGGTTGAGTACGGCCGAGACATTGTTGCGCAAACATACACTTCGATCCCGGCGCAATATCATTTGACATCTATGCCCCTTTGGCCTCTTTCGGTTCAAAACATTGAAATTGGAAAGTTAAATTGAAAATGAAAGATATGGAAAATGGAAATGAATGTTTCATTAAAATATATTGATATGATACGAACAAATCACGATATTGTGCACTATTTTGATATGCCAGTTATGATACTCTTGCTGAATAACACATAATTCCACATAATTTTACTGAATAAGACCCCCCGCTGGTATATTCGGTCACAAATCAGATTGTTCACGATTTTAATAACTATCACATAGATTCATTAGGCATCATTACCGTGTTGAAAGTGGGTATGTTGGCGTGTTGCGCATGGGTGTGTTGCCGTTTTGTACATCTTCTGGCGCAAAAAATGATAGCAAAAGTCACTGTGGCAGTGGCGGCAGTGGCGCATGGGTATTGCTACTCACTAACTCATCATCACCAGGTCCCTGGATTTAACGTCTTACTTAGAGTAAGGCCTAAGAAAAGGGGTGTGATTAATGTGTGTAATATTTTCATTACACAACTTTTGAAACTAAAATGTATTAAAAATATGATTTATTTTACCTACAACAAGCTATCCTTTATAAATTTCACCAGAGCCTTCTGAACAACTTTCTATTTTGTTAATGGGAAAGTTTAAGTGTCATGTAGTTTGGAACACTACTGTATTCTATTGATTTTTTTGAAGAAGTACTTGTAGAATAAATAGTAATAAAAGTCTATCATGTGTAAAAACTATTTATATCATGATGCCCAAACCTTAGATTTATTTTTTCTTTGAAAATAGCATAATGGATTGCAATAGTAAAGGGGGGTGTTCTGTAAGATGGTCATTTGTTTATCGAATATTCTGTGGTGAATAGATCTAGCTCTAGAAAAACTATTTATTGTCAGTTAACAAACAGTTTGATTTTGTACATGTATTAACAATCCATCTGTATATTATAGGTGTATTTATTTTTGCAGCTAACAGTAAATTCGACGGAAGCGTATTAGGGCCAAATAAATTTTAATAAGGCTTTTTGAAAAAGTCCTAAGTGGGAAATACCGAGTTCCAGTTAGGAAATAATAACTCATAATTAGGACTATTTATCACCTAACTAGTACTTTAAGGCAATGAGAGTTGTATTTTTATTTATATGGCCCTAATTAATACCGCAAAATTGTTACAAATAAAACCCTATATAATTAGGACTTAGCATCTTCTAATTAGGACTTTAAGATAATGAGAATTGTATTTTTATTTCTTTTGGCTCTAATACGCATCCGTAAATCTAACATGTCGTTCGTAGATAACACTCAAAGATTTCTTTTCTATATTAAAAATCAATTTTTGATGAAAAAGGAATAAACTTATAGAAAACGAGTTTTTTTATGGGATTAACTTAGATGTTATCATTGATGTATTGGGTTATAAATTCTAGAATTTTGACCGACACTGATTGAATTTTCTCTCTCATTATGTCGTTACATACTAACTGTAATTATACGCGAGTAGAATGTAAAGTTATGGATATAGTTTTAGTTATCTCGTTCTTAGCAGGGAAGAGACGGGTCGCCACGTATTGTTTAGAGTAAACATTCCCCCCAAAATGCTTTGAATTTAACAATTTCCCAGGTTCATCCTGGTTTTTCTAACTAAGCATTTCAAGATGCATCTGCTGGATTTTGACTTCGCCGCAAATCAGTAAAAGAAAACAAAAGTTATCACAACACATTCATACGGGACAACAATCATTGGTTTAATATACTCATGGCGTTTCCAATCGCTAAATGGTTAAATAGAATTAATAGTTGATAAAAAAGTTGGTCAGTACCTCAAATACATCTATTTCAAATAATGTCTATACCTTAAACAAATTTACTGTACTATATAGTTAGTGTTAAATCTGTTTGGTATACCACGGTGGGCATTAATTAATGGATTCTCATTTGAAAATGCATTCTGAAAGAACATCGACATTTTCGCATTGTACATGGACTAAAGGAAACAGATTATAAATACTGCAATTTTTACTGTGTAACTTAAGACCACTCCTAAAATATAGTTGAGGAAAGCTTACCACATACTAGCAGAAAGCCTATCACATAGTAGCAGAACGCCTACCACATAGCTGCAGAAAGCCTACCACATTGTAACAGAAACCTACCACATAGAGCAGAATGCCTATCACATAATAGCAGAAAGCTTACCATATGGTTGCAGAAAGCCAATCACATAGTAGCAGAAAGCCTGTCATATAGCTGCAGAAAGCCTACCATATAGCTGCAGAAAGCCTATGTAGCAGAAAGTCTACTGTATAGTTGCAGAAAGTCTACTGTATAGTTGCAGAAAGCCTACAGTATAGTTGCAGAAAGTTTACTATATAGTTGCAGCAAGTCTACTATATAGTTGCAGAAAGTTAAAATCATCTTGTTAGATAATTAATAATATCAGACATTCTTAAAACAGTACATTATAAATCACTCCCAATATTATCGACAATTGAATCATTTTAGCCAACAAACTGAGAGCTTATCATGATTGCCTGTTCTAACCGAGTTGCCCTGTGCTGATCTTCCAACTTTAAATCGTTATTTATAGACATTATCATGTTTGGATAGCTCCTTTGGACAATTATTGTTGAACGGTCACCAACTCACTTCTATTCGCTATCCAATTAGTTACTACTTTACGCAGCCACAGTGTTTAAACTATGACGTAAAATTGGTCTTCCCATATCGATCTACATTTCTGTCAATTACAACTCCAGTCGCAAGTCCAAATCTTGTCCCTAAATTACCGTCATCGCTTTTCTATTTTTCATTTTATCCCTTTTTTTATTCTCTTATGTAAACATGCAGTTCATTAGTTGTATCCTTCCACAGGGTTATTTTTAGAAATCTAACGGGTATTACTCCGCAATTCTCTACTTATTCGTCGATTTGTTATATAATAAAGGTAGTATTGCCATCGCTTCATTTTTATTTGATATATCAAGATAGATTGTAAATATACTAGTTGTGTATTTTTCTAGAGGTAATCAGTCTACACAGTTCACCTGATTAAATGACAGGAAATCTTCGAAATGCAATCTTATTAGCCGAAATTCGATTTTAATCTTCATTAGACATGTGAATATTGTGAGAAATAACTTTGTGAAGTTATTTTCAGATGAGTACAGGAAAATATTTCTGAATTGTGATATATTGAGTTTATTAAGCTACACAACGCATTTACATTTCTAGAATAAATCTTTATTTCAGTTAAGAGGGAGCAGAGAAAGTTATACGTATACCTAGAACCGGTCAAATTACTGCTAAAACTTAGATCTGTTGTATATCTACTTTACGAGTTGTATATCTATCATTTATATTACTGTTAATCTTAATCCATGCAGATGGTTTCTTATTAATTTCATATATATTGCCCACAAGTTTACTAAATTGTCATTTGTGCTTGATAACGATAAGAGGATACTTGTCGAAACGTCGTGCTTTTAGAATAAACTAGTGATTGTATCCCATAAAAACTGTGTTCTGTTAATGTGTTCCCCGATCGCTAAATGCCACTTAAAGAATATGAGTCTGCAAGTGTTGTATATCAACTGTATGAACATACACTGTACAACTGTAGTATGTACTGCACAAAACTACAACTGCTGTATATGTAATGCACAAGACTACACCTGTAGTATATCTAATGTACGAGTCTACAAATGTTGTATATCTATTGCCTCAGTCTATAACCGTTGAATATCTACTGAATAAGTAAATATTATGCCTTGTATGTATATCTCTAAGTGGGTACGACGCTGGCTCGCTAGTCTGGAGGTCGGTGTTCGATCCCTGCATTGGCCGAGAAAGTTC